AACCCCGGCTGCCTGAAAATGGCATTTATATATATATATATATATTTATATATATATAATATATCATTCATTTATATTTATATTTATATTCATATTTATATTTATATATTTATATATATTTATATTTTTATGTATAGTATATATATAATTATATACTATATTCTTGCTTTACGTTTAGCGGGTTCTGTATTTTTTTTATTAACTTCTTGTTCTTCATTTTATTTCGCGCCTATGTAACCTTAGCGTTTGTGTGTCTCCATCGATATCCCATTTTCCTACGATAACCCACCCCTTCGCTAGCCCACTCTTCATTCTTGAATTTTCCCGTTGTTTTTAGTCGTTTTCTGATTTAAACGCGACGTCTTTTTTTCTTTCTACTCTTTCTTAACGACACGTCAGCTCTCTTCGTTCGGAAAGTCGAATAGTTTCTCTTTCTAAGTTAATTGAAACCTCTCTCTCTCTCTCTCTCTCTCTCTCTCTCTCATCTCTCTCAGTCTCGCTCTCATTCTCACGCCTTCCCTTTCCCTTTCACACACATCTTGTTCAACAAAGAATGCGTTTACGATACATTTATATTAATAATCAATTATATCTGTCTTTCGTTACAGTGATAAAAATCGCAATAGTAATAATAGGAATGAAAGTAATATAAATAATTATAATAATTATGATAATAGTAATAGCAATAATAATGACAGTGACGAAGATGATAATGGTAATGCCAATGATGATTCTCGTGATAATAATAATAATAATAATAATAGTAATAATGTTCATTGTTCGCAATTGCGAGTACAATTAATTAATAACCGCAATTAAACTCGTATTTACAGATTTATCGTACAGACAGTTGCCTTATCACCTTCTTTCACCCCCTTCCCGTGATCCCCATCCGTGTCCCTAAAATTTTCCTACATATACCGCCCCCGAGTGAGCCACAACAATCTTACAATTGCGATTTCCTCTCCTCCGCTTCCGGTTACTTTCCTCATCGCCTCCATTTCCGAGTTCTCGAACTACGCGAATGTTCTTTTATTTCAACGATGCGACACCATTTCTTTACAATTCTGGGTTTATACTGGATTTCATGACACTTTAAGATCGATATTGGTAGCTGCTTCTTTGTGAGGTATTCTTTGTGAATTCGTGCCTAGAAAGTTGGTTCCTAATCCTCTGTAATCCTTCGATCTCTGGTTTCTTTCCTAAGATGGTTGTTTTTTTATGTTTACTATTAAATCGACTATTGCTGGTTCAGAATTTTCCATTTCTTAAAATTCCTGCTTTTACATTTTCCTTATTTTTAATACGTGTTAACAATTGTAACAGTAGTTACAAATGTGCCTCTGTTTTTGTTCATCTAATCAAGTCCATAATTTCAATTTCGTAAAACCTCGTCATTTACATAATTTCTGTCTCATCCTTAGCATTTATAAATAGTATCTTATTGTCTACTGTATGGATTGAATCAATATTTTTCGTAATTCAGGATTCTTAGCATCGAACCAAGTCTCTCGAACGACATTTCCAGTTCTGCTCACATTCAACAATATCTAATCACGTTTTATTTCATAAATTTTGACGCATCGTTCGCGCGAATACCTTCTCTTTCAACATTCTTCTACCTCAAGAATTTCGATCGCGGTGTCGTGGTCACGTCCGACAAATCGTGGCGGACGAGGAAACTTCCATGAGAATTCGACGCTCCTATCCACTGTAACCTTCGCAATCATCCTGGTCTTTCAACGCCTGATGATGCGCACACGCTACCAAAGACAATAGCACTTGATCGATACCCGGAGAATCAAACGTTCGTCCACGTGTATCACGATTTCGCGCAACATTCTTCAGAGTTGGTTTGTGAAACAGCGACGCTCCCCTTATAGTTAATTAAACCGTTATTACAATAATATATGTTTACTTTGTACTATATATGATCTTATAATCGACGGCCGCGACGCACGCTTCCGTTTCTTCTTATTTTATCTGTGTTATTTTTTCATTTTTTGGTACGATTAGTTTTCTAGAACTCTCGCCTTTCCGTCATACGCGGTGACTCATTAATGATCAACCCTATTTCCAGATCCCTGTAGCATTCTATCATTCGCTTTTCCTCGTTTCGTTGCATGCTGACCAGGGTCGAAGCTTTCTCTATGGAAACGGTAAAGAAATTGAACGTCGATCACGAGGAACCGAAAGAACGTGGGGCAAAATGTCGCTTTTTTCTAATTTCGCTACAATTCGCACGCTGTTAATCAAGAAATAGTTGTATAGACTAGTACAGAATCGTTTATTACGCGGTGGAATCTTTGCACACGAATCGTTGCACACTCGATTTAATTAGAGGACTAAATATATTACCCTTTTTCCTTTCCAAACCCTTAAATATCATTAAATAAATTTTCGTACAATTTCCCACTGCCTCGAGGATTTTAAAAATCTCGCGAAGCAAAAAGGATGCAACGTTTCTTGCAATGGATCCCTACAAAATCACATGGCAAAATCACACGCAGTTAACCAAACCTCCATTAAACGCAAAATAAGAGGAATGGCTGGCGTGCAATCGGAAAACGCGAAAACTAGCCTCTTCCGCCCTGGAACTTGGTTCCTCTTCATTCCTCTTCCATCACCGCCTTCCTGAATCGCGAAAGTCTCTCTCGCTCTTTCCCACTCACTACTATGTACAATAGCACAGCACAATTGCAGTACGGTATCTAGTGCGGTACGCAAAGTTTCTCTCTCTCTCTCTCTCTCTCTCTCTCTCTCTATTTTTCAATTTCTCTCTCATTCTCTCTCTCTCTCGCTCTCTCTCTCTCGCTCTCTCTCGCTCTCTCTCTCTCTCTCTCTCTCTTACTCGTTTATCTCTTGTCTTTGTAGTTCACTCTATTTCACACACGCACGCGCGCGCGCGCGCCACATTCATCCGCATCCCTGCGATTTCGCATGTCGTGGAATATCGAGACCGCTAGTTCTCATGAACGATCAGCTCCCGTGTTCCGTCTACTCCTCTTCTTCGCCGATTCGCACAAAACAGCGTCCACTCTGATATACAATGTTCATTTAACGTACGTAGAATATATCACTTGGCACGTGCACCCTCGACACGATGCCACATTTGTTATTCTCCTTTTTTTTTTTATCTCGCATTAAATTAGTTTCGGTGTCTCAGTGTTATAGTGTCTATATATGTATGTGTGTAGGTGTGGATTAATGTGAGCGTGTATTAAGAAACGAAGCTGTTCTTTCGCGTCCATTTTTTTTTTTTTGTTTCGGTAAATTTCATGGGTTCGATGTGTATTCCTTTAGCGACCAACGAGGACACGACGAGTCCTGATTCACCCTTTTTGATCATCGATCCTTCGCACGATTCTCTCTCTCCCTTTCTATTCAATTCTACATTTCTCCGCTTTTCTGAAAATTTTCGAACACTATTCGAGGTTACAGACGTCGCCGTTTTGAGAATAAAAATATTTAGGAATCTTTGAGAACGGAGGTTTGGTTATACGGAGCTTTATTTCTTGTCGGTGAGAAGATCGAAAAGAATAGCTTCTCTATCTTTGCAAGGATGGTTCAAAACAGCGACGTACAAAGTTATGAGAGTCTTCCTAGATCATTAAAAAGGTTCTTTCTTCTTCCTTTTAAATATAAACTATAGACTTTTTCTGAACATATTCTCCGAAATCCTTCGCGATTTCTTTTATCTCGTATGAAACATAGCACGGGGAATTACCTGCACCCTGTTCTTTGAAATGATCAAACAAATGCTAACACGATATGCGTGTGGTATTTCTTAATTCATAAAGGATTAACGCGTTCAACCCTCAGTGGAAAAACAACGAGTATCTAAATACGCTAGGGTAGGAATAAACTTCACAAGGGTATGAGGAGTTGAACGCGCCAGAATTCAGCTCTGATTCTCGAGGAAGGCTGACAACCTCGAACACGTGTTCTTCGGGAGAACTTGAGGCTCACTTCTTGCAATTTTGACTAGATAAAAGAATTGGCCGATCCGTCGAGAACCATGCCAACACGCGTGGACTAGAAAATGCTCTGAATCGAGATATCTTACTCTAATATGGCAAATTATGGCACCAAGTTCCCGGAGAATCAGACTCTCGAACGAAAATCAAATCGTTCGAGCGAAACGAATAGGGAGAGAACGTTCTCGCCATTAAAGATCGATAATCCATACGATTTCTTTCGACGCGACTCCACGATGCTCGATTTCACACCCTGGAACGTGGTTTTCTGCAATAATTTCTTCCTCTTTTCTTTTCTTTCTTCTCTTTCTTGAATGTACAATCAGAGTTTCGTGGATCAACGATAGAATTTTGAAAAATTAATCGAGTTGCAAACGGTGTTTCGAACATTGAGGGAAATATGCGTCATTTCGCGGGACGTAGCGAGGTTGAACTGCAATATTCACGAACAAGGCTGCCACCCGTTTCTGTCGTTAAAAAATTATCACAGTGACCGTGCTTCCCGGAGCTTGGCTATAAGATAATGACGCCAGTGTGCACGATTCCTCGGCAGCTCTCAAACCTGCTTGCTTTTTTCCCCCCTCTTTTCTTAAAGTGCTTGAAAATATCGCGCCCTGATCGACGCCAGATTATGAAAGTTCGAACACATTAAACGTAATCGATTATCGCGAACCGATTCGATCGAATAATTATCCTCACGAAAACTCCGTGTTCCACGTTCCTTACGATATTCATCGTTTCTGAAATTTCTCGAACCTAAATATTTCACTATTATACGTATTCCGTTTAACCCATTGAAGACCAACGTAGTGTTAATAATAATAATAAATACTTGCAAATTTGTTTTTCAATAGATCAATTTATGTTATTAAATCCTGTTTTTTTTTTTAATTATGGTTGCGAAAGAGAATTTTCAAAACGTTTGCTCCATACTTTCTTCGTTATTATGTCTTCTACTTACATTCTATAATTTTGTGGATTTTGAAGAGATTGAGATATTTATGACCTCATAATAAAATTGTTTCGTTTGAATGACGGATATTGATTTTATGTCTCTGGTTCGTATGATGTGCTTTTGTAACGTTTTTATTATATTTCCTGTATGTCAATAAAAAAATATACGAATTACTTTACGTACGTTTTTCAATAATGTCATTTGAAATTTTCCTGCTTTATTTCACTACTTAGTCCTCAATGAGTCAAACGATCGATCCGCTCACTACAAATTGAAGCGATCGAATAATTATTCTCACAAAAACTCTACGTTCTATGTTGCTTGCTTTTCGCTCAATCTACGACCTCTCTCGGACTTAAATATTCCACAGTTCTACGCACATTGTGTCTGACAAAATTCTGCGATGTAAATGCTTTTCCATTCTACGCGTTCGAGAATTCGTCGAATTCTTCGAACGTAATCATGTGTGTATTTAGCTAGGTTGCGCGGTACGAAGGGCCGCCTTCCGAAAATTCATCTAATCGGGCCTACGGTCCCCGCTACGTCGTCGAAACGAGTCTTCTAGCAGGCGAGCGGCCCGAACAATTCGGAGATTGTTGAAAACTGACGTTCCAGGTCAGTCGAGCGTCTCGAGTGATATCGCGAACGTCGCGTCGCGTTAAGAGATCGCCGCCCTTACGAGAAGGACAGATCTTCCTCGGGCGACTCGTCCTGGTACTCCTCGTGGTCGGACGTATGTCACAAAACGTCGCTTGGTTCCCGTTGCACGATACCTATCGTCGGTGATAGCTGTCCCTCCTCAACTGCGACGGTCTTCGGGTCCTCGTCCTTCCATTTGTCCATGGAGCGGCGTCGAGCGTTCATGAAGAAGTTCCCGACCGTCGTCGGCTCCAGGCCCAGTTGTCTAGCGATTGTCACCTGCATCTCTTTCGACGGCCTCTTGGTCTCCTGAAATGCGTCGGTATTCGTGAGTAGATAGTTTGACGTGAAATATGTATTCCGTTAATTTTATCGTTATTCAACTGAAAACGTTTAAGAAGATACGGGTTTTTTACGAACGTATTAAAGAACTAACAAAAAGAAACGTAGTCTGAATAGAGATTTGTTCCACCTGATAAATATTATGCCCACTACTATGCTCACTTTGCATACTTTGCAGTAATTACATTTTGAGTTATTAAAATATTTCACTGCACGATAAAAACAAACGAATGATATACACGCTAGTAGTATAGTTAATGTAAAGTGTATTTACAAGCAGACGTTTTGGATGGTTCTGAAAAACTGAAGGTTCGTCACTGCCCCTCACGTTTACAGTAACAAAAACCCATTGTACCATTCGCTACTGACCCCGGTAATCGATGCGATTTAAAATAATTAAAAATGGACGAATATTGTGATAAAATAACAATTATTATTGTATGTTTATGTACCACAACCACGCGACATACAGAGTTCAAGAAATTATAGATATAAATATATATGTCGGGTTTACATTAGAATTAGGGTTAGGGGCGTGAAACGAATCTTCGTTTGGGTTACACGTTGTCGTTATGCAATAGAGAAGACATTGACTAGTGCAAATACGATTATTATAGAACTGGACAAGTAACCGTGGTAGTTAGGTACTCGAGAAACTAATGACAATGATCCTAGATTCAATAACGAATCCGCGGTCGACGGGATGATAGATGAACGTACTCACAAAATCTAAGTCGGACGCGTAATATTCACTGGTCGTAAAGGGTTATTCCTATCATCGATGAGATCGCGAGCGAGAATGTCTTTCCCGTCCCGATGATGCCACAGAGGAAAACTATAATGAGGTGTGTCTAAGCATACGAGATCATCGGATTCGTCGAGAAAAGCCTTCGTTCAGAAAGTAAGGGAAATTGGCGTTGCTGCTAATTGGTCAATCTCCATATCGGTGGTTAGAAAAAGATGCTAGCCGCCCTCGAGGGAAAGTTGCTAGTGGGAGACGCCGCTCGTTGAAAAATAGTTCTCCCCTATTTTTCCGTAGTTGGGACAAAGACCGTTTGTCTGTTTGAAGGACTTTAGTTGACTAAATCTTAAGATTTATAACGGGCCCTCGAGCTAGCTGAACATGTACTGCGTAGA